GTTTTCGCTTATCACCTCACTCTCACCACTCGACGTGGAGAGAAGCAGCAATGGAACAACCGCACCATCAGGCAACCATTAGAAATGAAGTTGGGCGTAGTGGTCGCCAGGTGGGCGGGGTGGCCGACTCTTCACGAGCGGGCGCCGCTATTCTCTCGCATTTTTGAGTTGCGAAACTAGTACGTCCACCATCCTCATAGGGTGAGCTACGATATCCAAAGAGGGCGTGGGAACAACAAATGAACGCGGGCGCTGCCTTTAATAGAACTTTATTTATTGAAAAGGTGAGGATGTCTCGGTTCAATGTTCAATTTCTTCAACCTGACACTCCAAGTATTACGGAATTAGTGGTAATATCTTCGAAATAATTAAGCGCTGTACCTTTCAGGTCAGAGAAATCTATCAATCGGTTCAGAACGCAGTAATGATACATTTCATCTTTAAAGCGAAATTCCAAGTTAGAAAAAAACCGAAATTACTTAAGGGCAACTCCTTACTATCAACTGGCTGAGCGGCTGTTTTCCTTTGCAAAATGATGGATTGAGAACGTTTTTACTTTCATTCGGGATTTTTTGGCGGGTTACTGATGACCTGTCGCGAGCATCCAAGGCATATGGCACGATAATTTAGCACTCGGTTCTAAATGTTAGCAGCGTGCTGAATAGTGGGGAAAATGGCGGAAAAATGGGGTGAAAACCGTGTCAAAAACCTGCAAAGAAAAGCCTTCGTTCTTAATGACTCAAAAAGTTATTTTCGGACGAGTTTCCCGTAGGCATCTTGCCAATAACCGCTACGGTAGGTACGGCTGCACGTATGTACTCATATATCCATGCAGCACCGCGGCCGCTTCATATCAATCCCTTCGCTTCATATTTTACTTAGCAAATGAAGCAATACGAGCATCAGGTACGGTCGTCCATTTGTGGGCGGGCGGGCGTATGTTGCGGCTTGATAGGTCCTTATAACGGTACCTTCCTCGGAAAAGCCGCCTGATCCGTGGCGCGCGCAGTCCGGTGGTGGGCGTGTGAGTGCGAGGGATGGGAACCGTGGGGGAGACGTCGGCTGAGGAGTGGGTGGTGAGTGGGGCGTGGCGTAACTGTGCCTTGTGGAAAGAGTTGGTGAGGAGTAGATACTTACCTTTAAAACGTGTGGGAAAAAGGGGGGGTGAAAGGCGTGATATACAACGAACATTGTTCAACAATTCTGGCTACCGTCCGCCTCATGATGAGGACGATTACAGCGGGGGGGGACGGCAAAAAAAAGACATTCGGACGCCGAGTTCACTATCGTGCAAAGTTTTTGCAGCCCAGAAGACGTGGATACGAGTACCAGGGCGGAAGATACCCAAGATGTTCCTCGATAAGCAGGAGCTGGCTCTCGCCCATCACCTTCATGTACACCAAAATATGAAGTCATCTCCAGTCGCAGCCTGACTGGAGAAGACTTTGGAATTCATGTCACCTCCAAACAGCTGCGAAACTTCTTGTGTGGAGTCACGACATGGATCACGCTGTCTGCGAGGACCAGTACTCTCAATCTGGAAGACTCCCAACATCGAACAGCATCGCCAACGTCGTCATCCGTTCTAGTTGATATCATCTTCACTCAGTCGCAAGGCGCCAGTTGCCGGAAGGATGGAAGAGACCGATATTTTCTTCGTGGGCCCGGACTGAAGGTGAGCGCTGGCGGTTACATCGAGCAACTCGAGAAGAATATCCTCTCCACATGTCGTCGCCCGTACCTTCTTGGAAACTTTGTACTGCTACAGGATTGGTGACACCACATGGAATCAAAGGCGTCAGAAAACTCTTGCCTACTTGGAATGGAAGACGTTGAGTACCTGAAAGAAGGATGGAATATCTAAGCAGGTCACCTGAACTAAACCCCTCAATTACCTGGTTCGGGCGGAGTTCATAGGGTGGTCTACAGTGGCGGAGAAATCAATTATCTCGCCTAGAACCAGGCACCCCACTCCACGTCGATGGCAGAATCTCCCGATGGGCGCTCCTCCAGAAGCTGTGGCGGGCGCAGTGTTTGTGATAGTATTCAATATGCTCTTTAATATGGTAGTAAAATGTCCGATAAGAATTTAATAAAGTGTAACTTATAGCGCCTCGAAAGTCAAGGAAGAAAAAAGTCTTTTTTTGCCCCCCCCCTGTAGTCGAAGAGTCAGGCCATTCATATGAAATTCCACCTTACAATTTCGCACAAAACAAGTCATCAGACTTAACAACAGTGACTAGCTTTAACAACGGAGAGAAATGCTGGACACACTCTGTAATTGGAGACTCTTCAATTCCCTCAATAATAAGGGGGAATTGTAGGAAAATGTGGAAGAAACATGTAATAGTGAATTCTTTATGAGCAGGGCTATCGAGTGGTTCAATTTTCAGCTTATTCGACCATTTTTACAGAAGTTATGACATTTTTCGCCCTTCTGTTATTTGAGGACAAGTGCAGAGTGTAACCCATCGGCTGTGCTCTCTCACATAATATTTCTATTTGGTGACATTTTAATTCATCTTCTTCCGCGAGATAATGATATGCTGGCAGTATGAGATCACCTGTATTACATGCACGATAGGTCTCGCCCTAAAGTGAGCGGTCGCCCAGGCACAGGTAGACATCCGTATACAGTCACTCATCTGGCAGTCATCCTCAAATCGCATGGTCCTAATCTTCGGAACGGTTGAACCCCTGAGCTTCGAAACCTTGGCCATTGCTGCTGTTCCCTGATTTTTGATCGTTGACGGGATGTCAACCTTCGCCTACTCTTCATCACTTGCGTGTAGCGCGAAACTTCAAACATCGCTCTCTCGTCGGCGTGTTAAGTGAAGATGACCGCATACTCACTCAGACTGCTTGCGGATGATTCGTGGGGTTCAAGTCCTGGACCTAGCGAGGGCTGGAAGGAGTGTGGGGTCGAAAAGGGTTTGTACGAAACCGGATGTTCTTCGCCTTCTTTGCTACTCCCACCATGATCTTGATGACCGCTTAAGCTGCTAGCTTCACTCTTCTCAGCTGTGGTGACAGGCAGCGTATCACTTTTATTTCTCGACCTCGATAGACGTGACTAGAGCACTCAGAGATGCTCAATTCGTTGAGCGCAAAAGGGGGCATCAAAAACCAGTCCAAACATCGTCTTCCTCAAATTTTCATCATTTTTTTACTCCATATCCTTAAAAGATAGGGCGTGGCTGAGTTTTTCATTTGAAAATGGCCCAGGATACTTTTTTGGCAGGATATTTTTTGAGACGGGTGCTATTATGCTGGAACCATCCCAACGCTCAAATGGATCACGCAGCCACTCCCTTCTGCCTCCAGGACATGAAGAGCAGCGGCTGCGAAATTTCACAGACAGATCGGCTAAAATCTGCTCGATCGCATCTCGGCAGAAACCTACAAAGGATGGTTAAATAGAGAGAACGCAGAAAAGCAGAAAAGTTTCAACAACGTTGTTCTTCAACCGAAAGGTATCATTCTCTTCAATGCTTGAGTTAGGTGTTTTCAGATGTTAACTACTTAATATTTTTGCTTTTATTCTATACGCATCAAAATCTCCGTCAGGCACTCGATATAGAGCCAACTGTCATCATGATCTTAGTGTATGTGATACGATGTTCGAAATGGCTCTTTCTCGTAACAGCACTCTTCCACAGTAGTTATATACAAGTTATAAGTTATATTTTGTATATATATTGTATGCTTAAGTTCTAGCTGATATAACTATTTAAGTATACTCTATAGTCTGTATGTGTTATTTTGGTAGTTGTTAGTTGTAGTTAGTTTATAAGGACAGGCATTTCGCTTTAACGTTGTATGTTGTTTGTGTATTCTGACTAGGTGTGGCTTCAACGTATTGAACATTCTAGAAATTATTACAGTTTCGAGGAGGAACATCCAACTCCTTTGTCGGCATCCATCCAGAAGAGTCTACATTCGAAGACGCTTTTGGCCAAGAAAAACGTAATATAATTCTTCTTATTAATTCGTTGCATAATCCATTTCATATTTTGTATGTCTGGGTCTGTCGGGATACAAAGTGTTTTCCCCGCGGTGCCTCCTTGCTATTCGGAGGGAGAGACACATGTGGGCGCTAAGGGCCACACGTAGTGTCCTATTCACCAGTTTACTGTTAGCTTGGGACTGTGCCTTGAGAAAAGTCCTTAATTCTATGAGATTTTTTTTCTAGTTCTATGAGTCGTGTTCTGACTTACAGTTAACGAGGATCTGAGCGAAAGGGAGACCTCTCGGCGTCCAGTATCAAACACTATTGTTACGTTGTTTCTTTCCATGATTTTTGTAGTGTGAAGGAACCTTAACAGCATCCGGAGGATGCAGCCGTGCTGTTTGTCATACCGCTGCCTCATGAGTCAAGAGACAATCACTTTACTAAGCATGAAATGCATCAGACTGCACTCTCATGATCGATTACGCGACTGTCGGAGCGGTGTGGTGAAATGCGGCTCAACCACGTCTTCGGCCGGTAATGAAGTCTTTCTGCTCCAGGTATAGTTTGAGGCGAGCAATATGAACATGACAGCATTAGACGTGAGAGAGCATATAAGGAAGGCTTTTTTTCCATTCTTTTTAAAATGATTTCTGCTGAGCGACTGAGCGTGCATGGCCCAGTCTAAGCTTGAAATGGTGTTTTCCAGACGGAATTATCTCAATGTGATCACCGCTCCGTTCCGTTTCATACTGTCAAAATTCAAATTGCTCTTCGTTATTGCTTTCTATTCATTGTTTGGAGCATGGATGTTCATGACGCTCGAGGTGAATTCACATTTTCTCCACTGAAGGTGATGCTGAGACTACCCAGTTCTCCCGTTTCAGGTGCCAACTGATCTCGCCGCCAAACAAGATGCTTATCACGCTCGTCTCATAGCCAGAGATATAATGATTCTGAAGTAATTTTACATTTGGCTGCAGTCTCTGTACAGAAACAGAAACCTCTTTTCAATTTGAATTGAGTCAACAGGAAAACTTTTTGTTTTAGTTTGAGAGCAATTCATCAAAGCAATAAGGAAGACCGTGAAGAGAGGTGGAAGGAGTCGATTCTGACATTCGAGAGCGACCTCGGTCTTGATGAGCCTTCTCTTGAAAGCGCATGGACTTTCTGGATGGCTTTTCTTTATGCTGGCACCATTTACACAACAATTGGCACGTTGTTTCCTACTTCCTCTACAGTTGTTCTTTCTGACCCAAAGGCCAGATGAAGAGGTGCAAAGTGGACCGCCAGTGACGAAAAAAAAGTCAAAAGAGCTTGCATTATAGGAGTCTGCTAAATAAGGCCTTTCATAGCTTACTTTCAAGCACAGATTGCGAGTTATCTCATAGGTTGATCCTTTCTGTGTGTAAGGTGAGCAGGTCCGCCGGGGAGCGGACAAGAGAATCGTAATCTGCCGCTTCGTCGCACGCGGCGACGGGCGCGACGTTTCTTAATTTGCATTAGCCTTCCGACTGGAGCATCGGATTTTATGTAGACTAGGATATCGTAGACATTTATGGATGTTTTTGGTCAACATTGTCTATTCTCGACCAATATGACCTAGAATCGTCGTCATTGGCGAGCGCGACGTCGCACGCGACGCCCACTGGCGCGGCGAATTACGATTCTCTTGTCACATACCTGGCCCGCTGCACTAAAAATGTGGTACTACTCCATTCAAAAAAAGGAGCGCCATAACGGTGTTTACAGTATCCCAAAACTGCGCGTTGAGTCGAACACGTTGGTCCCCCAAACGCTCACATTTGGGCAATTTGTAATTTTTGCGTGTCCGGCTCAGTTATTCGAATTTGAGGCACGCCTAGTGGTTTATGTTATGAGGGCCCTGGCCCTGCCTGATTGATAACAAATCGCCATTAACCCATACTTGTTTTGAGGGATTGTATACGTTACGCTCCACTGCACGTCGTAGGTAATAGAGTTCAAAAATAGAAGTGTGCGTGTTAGTTGACTTGCTAAAGAGGAGGTATGCACAAAAAACCTTCCATATACACAGACCCTGTTTATTGCAATTGTTCGTGATCACCGGACGAGCATTGTAGTTCAAGCACTAGTTCTGGCTAAAAAGGACCGGGTGATGAACTGACCTAGGCGACACAAGACAGACAACACACGGCGAAAGGCGCGAGGTGCGCATGTATCCACCGGGGCAACGTAGGCCGGAACTGGGCGTGTTGGGCGTCCAAACCTGTAGCTGTCGTGCGCGCTTGCTGCGTCGAGGTTCCAACTTGCCTTGGGTGTTAGTACTGTCTGCTCCTGCGGATTGCTACATGACTTGGAGTCCCAAGAGGTTAGCATGTCGGCATTTATCGCGCACCGCTACATTTAACATTTATATAACGCGTCGATATTATGTGAGAGATAGAGTTGAACCATCGAGCTATCGCAAGCTCGATCATCGGGACGACAGAGTTTCCAGACAGCAGGTCGGCGTATTGTCCCCATTTAACTGCTGCAGAACCTTTGCCCAACTGGATACATATCAACTGATCATCCCTCAGGTATTCCCTGCTGCTGCCCTTTTTGAATATGCTCGAGCGGACAGGGCAGGAACTGAAACGTTTGATCAAGCGGATCCTAATAGCAATAAGCAGAGCTGCTAGCATCAGAAACATAATCCCATCAACCGTTCTCTCGGCTGAGCGGCCTTTCCCCCGGCGCAATTGTCATCGGCCACATAGCTATAAATATACCTCGATAATCCCTGAGCATCGGTAGGAGTGGTCGCATGTTTCAACTTAACCTGAAGGTTCTATATTCTGGTGAGATATTTTCATCTTGACACAATTGTTGTCGTGTCTCTGTCCAACAGAGAACAAGATGACAGTTGTCCCAGACTGGAATATTCCACGAGTAACTTCCGTGCCATGTTCAAATGCCACGCCTACTCTGGCTCAGGGATAAGGAGTATAGCTCGGCGCTAAGACGAGAAGAGATGATCACAGAATGTGGCTTCAACCAAGTTTTTGCCCTAGGTTGATAGCTTTATACACTGATGTCACTACTCATCTCTCTCCAAGAAAGCTGCCTCTACATAATTAAGAGAAACTGAGAAGTTTTTTTGTTAAGGATATGGTAACATCGCATGCGCCACGACTGCCGGGAAAGTGGCCACAATTATTTATTCGATGTTTGGTATTCCTATCATGCTATTAATTCTCAATGATCTCGGATCCTTGCTACTTGTATGGGTGAAGCTTATTGCCAGCTACTCAAGCGATTTCTTCCTTTTTCTTGGTATGTTGTTACAAAACCACTTTTCCGCTCGTTGACACTATTACTCCATTATTCCATAACATAGGATGTTCATCATTCAGGAGTTCGAACAGGAGTAGTAGGACTGAAGGAGGGTTCACAACAACGCGTCCGATATATCTACATGAGTAGAAAACTTGCCAACGTGGGGCTGGTTGGTACAGTATCTATCACAAGTGTAGCTGCGGTATGGATATTGCTATTTGATTTCTGTGTAAAAAGTGATCTCACAAGCCGTTACCGGTTTGAAAACTATGACTCGCAACCGAAAAGTTCTTCAATTTCAGTCGGAACAAGAGGAGAATGGTGTTGTGGAGGAGCCAGCCCCCGATCCTCCAGTCTTGTCGGCTCTTTGTGGTGAGCTCGCTTTTGAGTTCTATTTTGCCTGCAATAACAGATCAGTGTAACACAAAGCAGTCGGTTCTAAAAAGAGCTCTGCAGTCTGCTATAATTTTCCATACTACAACGTTTGTTTGTATCATCAAAGTGGGAGTTGTATGTAGCTAATGAGGTGGCTGTAGACGGCTCTGCACGTTAGCGATTCGTTCGAAGAGTTGCTATCGCAATGTTATCTTCTATGCCAGTAAACTGTAGGAAGTAACAGGGACGCAAAAGCTTTGACTTTTCCCCAGAGATGACTTTGCGCTGTAGGCGGTGCAGACTTAGCTGTTTGATTCGATTTCAAGTTGCAAGCTCGTTTGATTAACGGTTTGTAGTTTGCCAGCGAGCGCTAAATGCCACCCGATTATCCGGAAATAGTACTAGAAAACTTCCCATCTCCGAAAGAGGTCTTTCGGGGTAAGATGAAAATGGAACAGTTTTCCAAATGAGTATTATCTTTCAGAGCGAATAATGGTTGTGGGGGGATCTGGGATCTCTAGGAACGTGAAGCAGAGCCTTATGCCGCTATGCAAGCGAAGGTGTAGTCTTTCCAGGGACAGACGGCTCCATCATAAGCAACGGAAAACCTGGGAAACAAGTGACAGGCTCGCGTTGACCTCCCTGAAGTCCTATTGGACACAGTTGACCTCGCGGTAGACGAAGTGGCGCGCACAGTGTGTTGCACGCAATCGGGCATCACTTCTGGCGCGGATTTTCCGTGCGCGCGCTCTAGGCGTGATAATGCGCTATAACGAACAATTCTGCTCGCTGGCTCCAACCAGCAGACAGCGTTTGTCATGCGGTTCCTAGTTATTCGAAACCGCGGCTTATTGAGAAACGGTACAAGTAAGACGGGTTTTTCGCAGCCGGCCGGGAGTGTGGTCCCAAGAAATCCCCATCGCGAATCTCATGATCCCGAGAAACTTCAGAAACATCAAGAGGTTTTTAGAAAGAGAAAATCTTTAAACACTCGAAACCGTTCTCAGATTTGTGAAATGTTGAGTTACAAAAAAAATATATTGATTCAAACCTGTTCAGTTGAAATCACTCCCAACGAATCCTCATGGTAGATTTCTCTCCTGTGGATTTTTGGCGGACGGCTTCATGATTGTTTTCAGATGTACTTTTAGGAAGTGCAAACCTTCCTCTACACGAGTACGGTCTCCTCTTCCCCACAGGTCCGCTTTTGAGGAAGTTATGGTCCTTCAAAGACACCCACTTTGCTGAAAACTCGCGTTCCACATGGCTGGTCCCGCCCAGAATCCCTCCCCCCGACCTTCGGCTTTAACCGCTGATTAAAGACTTGGTTGCTACTCGTTTCGTAATTTACTCTTCAGTGTTTATCTCTTTTCGGTTTACTTTCGAATATTGATTTTATCTTCTTCTCGGTTACTCGAAGAAAATACGAATATTTATCTTCTTCTAGTTTACTCGAATACACGTCAGAGCGCACCCCAGCAATTTTGCTTGGACCGCTCAGAGTGCTCTTAGGAGGAATTGGCTTGATTTCCTGTTTTTTTTCTTTAATTGCAATTGATTTAGGTACCAGAGTTTGTTTTGACTCGAGGGAAGGTGGGTGAAACCTAATGGCCTTTTTTATTCTCTTTTCTGAATTAGGATAGAAATGAGCAAAAAGCGAGGGGGGCCTCCTCATTCAGGATTGTTACTTTTCTCATTTTTCGCGCTTACTTATACATAAACTTATGAAGTTTCTTCCTCCTCGGGGAGGGAAGAAACTTCATAAGTTTATGTATAGGGGGGTCGTACCGAACCCCCAAAAAGGGGGGGGGTCGTACGGGCTCCACCAAAATCCCCAACTAATGCTGTGCCGCTGATCTACACGGGGGGAAAAAACTGCATCGACAACCTAATAGCCGCTCAGCCTAACTAGTTCCCGGAGAGAAAAGCGGAAGTCATGGAGACTGTCCCTACGTAACGTGACCGCAGACCAGCTCTCTGGACGAGTTCTCTGAGTCTGCTCGTTTTCTGCCAGCGAAGCGATGCCCTTCCATCCCTAGCTCAATAATCTTTTCTCCTCTTCACAATACTATACCAGTCTAACAACAAAAAAAAAACACGAGAAGCGGTGTTAAAACGGAACTTGTTATAGGGAAAAATACCTTTGATTTCTGGAGGGCGAGACAACTGAAGAGGAAGTCGAAATGCCACGGGTATGAGGGCTGTAGGCGCTCCTTTGCCACCGGTTAAGCTCGCGAGTACAGTGGATAATCTCGGAGACTGGGGTGGCCCGGGCTACTTCTAGAACAAGGAGCGACGCCGGAGGGACGTTGCTGCGTGGCAGTGACTGTCTCAACCAATCTAGCGACTTTTTTTCGATTATTTCGTTTTTTGTTTGCACGCGCTGTTGTAGGGAGCTTGGGGCCGACCGTTATCGAGAAAGGTGTCCAATAGTGCCTGAGAATGCGCCAAATTTAGATGGTTTTTCTCTCAAACTACTGAACTACGTGCACTTCAGCTACCGTCGCATGGATCATGTTGGCAGCGGCTGTGTTCTGCATTTGGGAGGAATGGACGTATTTCACAAGCATCTACTTCTTTTTCATTTCTTGCAGCACGATAGGTGAGAGCTACATATGAGTGATTGGGGCTCAGCTCTGTTAGAAATAGCCAAAGTTTTGAGGCCTCGGCGATGTGACACCAGCACATCCGGAATACATGATTGCAACGTTCGAGTGGTCGATGTTGGCTCCTTTCGCTGGTATCCGTCTGCATAGACGTGGTAAAGGAAAAGCTCGAGCTCATGTACATGGCTCTGCTTAACAAAATGCTGCAGGTTCGCAAATTTTACGTGCTAAGGAGCCCTACAACATTACATTTCTTCAAGTCATCAATTTTGCAATGGACAGACGAAGAAGTGGTAGTGTAAAGAAGTTGTGTTCTCAAATGTTGTCGAAGAAAGAATTTTAGGCTTCTTCATACTCAGCGGCAGCGTCCACCAGCGACCACTAGCGTTCCGAGCGTCCGGCAGCGTCAGCGACTAGGAAAGTATAGATATCGATCTAGCGTCTGCCAGCGTCTACCAGCGTCTGCCAGCGTTCACCAGCGACCGGGAGTAGAGAGTATGGGAAGTAGGAGGGTAACAACATCCGGAATGGGGTCGTGAAACTGCGGCGTGTGCAACCGCACCGTACAAGTACACTACACCGTACATTAAATTGCATAATTCTGTGCTTTAGCAGTTGTGCGGTGCGGTTGCACACGCCGCAATTTCACGACGCCTAATCCAGCTGTTTGCTACCCTCCCACTTCCCCATACTCTCACCGGTTGCTGGTGAACGCTGGTGGACGCTGCAGACGCTGGCAGACGCTGGTAAACGCCAGATGGATATCTGTACTTTCCTAGCTGCTGACGCAGCCGGACGCTCGGAACGCTAGTGATCGCGACGCTGCCGCAAAGTATGAACGCAGCCTCACGAGTTTGTGGATATTTCCGATTATAGTCATTGGCTTTATCGGACGCAAAACCACATGCTGGACAGGAATAGCTCCCACAGTTTCTATCAGAAAGCAAAATTTGGCATTTGTTCAGGATTACATGGAAGCAGTGAAAAATGGAGATCCCAACGCAGAGACTGGCATGATGGCAGGGTTTCAAGGGAAGGCGAAATTCCTTATGCCTCTGATAAGGTTATCCCCATGCTTGTTCCATTTTGAGCATTTTTCTCAATCAGTTTGAAGTCTTCTTCTTCTTATTTCTTCCCTGTCAAATGTTTTTGCCTCCTCTCGTTTTGACAGCTGGTGCGTGTATTTGCAGTGAACATTATAATATTTATTTTAGCAAAGGTCAAGGAGCACGAGTGATGTCTCGCTTCAAGGAAGAATGCTCTGCTAAAGTAAGTTTCTTTTTCTGATTACTTTTGACGGTGACAACTAGTTCAGTATACATTTGAAATGGCTGCTGTTTTGAAAGATGTGAAATAATTTCTAGCAGTCCGTATATTCTTGGCTGGTTAATTACGTTTTTTATGACTGAGTTCGAACCAGGCTTTACAATGAATGGCTTTGTGGAGGCTTTTGGCCCCGAAAGCTAGTGGTTAGTTGGAGGAGGTGGGAGCTTTTTAGGCCGCGTTCATACTTTGCTGCAGCGTCCAAAAGCAATCACAGCGTTCACCAGCTATCCGAGCGTCCGGTAGCGTCGCCCCAGGAAAGTGTATTTATCGATCTAGCATATGCCAGCGTCCTTCAGCGTCTATCAGCGTCCAAAAGACTAGAGTATGCCGCGATAGGAGAGTAGCAGACAGTTGATACCCTCCTATCTCCTCACACTCTACCAGCTGTCTGCTACCCTCCTGTCGCGACATACTCTCTTCTCCCGGACGCTGGTAGAAGCTGGTGCAC